GGCCCCAGCCCAGGACTCTCACCTCGCTGAGCCCATTCTCCTCTGCCCAGCCTTCCCCAGCTCTGAGCATGTGGACACACCTGACCAAGGAGGTGCTGGGCTCAGGACGCTGAGCCAGGGTCCCCTGCAAGCTGAGTTCCGAATCTCCAAAGGCTGAGCCTCCCATCACCACAGAACACAGAATGTGGGCCTGCTCCTCCTCCTTTCCCCAAACTACTCTAGTCCTTAAGCTCAGCCTCTCCCTAGGGCCTGCGGTTAGTACCATGGCCAGGTCCACCAGCCCCTCATACACTAAGAAGCCAGAGCATGGTGGTGCATGCCTGTGATCTCGTCATGAGTGTATGGCAAGCTGAGACAGGAAGATTGCAGAGAGCAAGGCCAGCCTGGAATGCAGAGTGAGTTCAGGGCCAGGAACACATTGAATATACACAACAGGACCCTGTCTCTGGAAAAAAACGGAAAATGAGAGAGAGAGGCTTAGTGAGCCAGGTGACCTGCCTGGACCACTCAGCTTTCCTACCTGGAAGGAGGCTGTTTTAGCTGCGAGAGGACAGCCGGATGGGCCTTGTCGCTCCATGGTTGCTTCCCACAGCTTCTCAGCCTCTGAGGACACAGACAGGAACCTGGCACCTTTCATCCCTCGGTTTCACCTCCACCAAGCCAGCTCTTCCTGCTGCCGTGGGGCTGCAGGCCCAGTTGGACGAGAAGCTGGAGACGCCCAAGGGTAGGGTCCCCTACCCTGATGGGACTCTGAGACAAGTTAGGGGAGGAGGTTTACCTGATAGGTCCCCGACCTCATCCTGGGATCAGCCCAGGAACCTCAGCCAGGCCTGGCAGGGGACCACAGAGCTACTCAGAATGGCTCTGCAGTTTAAACAACAACTGCACGGAGGTCAAAGGTAACTGGTGGCAGTGGCGGGGGTGGGGTGGAAGTGGCTGTGTCTTCGAGACTTCCAGACTTTGTGTGGGTTTTAGAACTCATTATTGAATCTCTTTGCCTTCCCATTCTATAAAATTCTTCTAGCAGGGTACAGTGGTGCACACCTGTAATCCTAGCACTTGGGAGGCAGAGGCAGGAGGATTGCCATGAATTTAAAGCCAGCCTGGACTACATAGTGAATGAGTTTTCAAACCGGAGCTGCATAGTGAGACCCTGTCTCAAAAATAAAAAGCTGGGCGTGGTGGCACAGGGCTGCAATTCCAGCACTCAGGAGGCTGAGGCAGGAGGATTGCTGTGAGTTCGAGACCAGCCTGGGCTACAAAGTGAGCTCAAGGCCAGCCTGAGCTGCACAGCCCTGTCTCAAAAAGACAACAACAAGGGCCAGCCAAATAGCTCAGCCATGGGCGGGGAGATGGCTCAGTAGAATAAGCACTTCCCTGGAAAGTGCAAGGGTCTGAGTTCAATCCTCGGTTCCACCAAAAAACCAAAACAAAACAAATAGCTCTGCGGATTAGAGCACCTGCAAGCAGGTGCAGGGGCCAGGGGTTCGATTGCTGCCCTGAGATGGCAACTGAGATTGGGTGGCACGTGCCTATAATCCCAGCTCTTGGGAGACTGTAAACAAGCAGATCACTATGAGTCCGATCTAGTAGTGAGACCCTGAACACCCCATAGATTCTTCCCTAAAAAAAAAAAAAAGACAATGAAAACCTTTTTTTTTAAATGTATTTAGGACAGGGTCTACAGGGTCTCACTACACAGATCAGACCCATAGTGATCCTCCTGTTTTCAGCCTCCCAAGTGCTGGGATCACAAGCGTGGGGATCAAACTCCTAGTCCCCTCATCTGCCTAAACAGGCACTTTAATCCTCTGAGCTATCTGATTAGCCCAGATAGCTCTTTTTTTTTTTTGGTATCCAGGGATCAAACTAGGGACCTTGCACATGCCAGGCAGGCGCTTATACCACTGAGCTGTCTCCTGGCCCTCAAAAAACTATTATGTAGCCCAAGCTGACCTTCAACTCATATATGATCTTCTTGCCTCAGCCTCCAGAATGCCCGGATGACAAATATTTGCCACAATACCAGGCTCTATGAGGAATGTAATTGTTCTGCAAGTATATGTTAATAAAATTATGGTTTATTACACGAATAAAAATATTAATCATGAAAAAATACAAGCACGGACAAATCCACCCACCTGACTCCCAATTTTTTTTTTTTTCCTTTGGTGGTACTAGGGATTGAACTCAGGAATTTGTGCTTGCCAGGCAAGCGCTCATTCCACTGAGCTATCTCCCCAGCCCCTTGACTCCCAGTTCTTGAAGTCAATTGGGTTCAATTGTGTCACCTCCTGGCACCACCCACATCCATTCACCTGGGCACTGCTGTCCATGTCTCCACCCCCTGCTTGTTTTCTCCTGCTCCTTTGATGTCCCACACAGCCCCTGGCACTCAGTTTGCAAGGGTCTGACCTTCAAGATGCACCTGGCAGCCGCTAAATAGACCGTGAAACCTCCAAGCTTGTGGTGGGAACGAATGGAATCCTGGCCTATCACTGTTCAATCGCTTCTAAGAAACTTCTGTTGAGTTGCAATCACTGGGTCAAGAATACCAAGCCTGGGGATGCAGCTGTGTAGCATGGGCCACGGGCCTGGGTTCAGCCCCGCTTCCTTCTTAGCACCCAAACAAAAGGTAGGCCATGATGGGATACACCTAGAATCCCAGCACACTGAAGCTGAGGCAGGAGGATTGCAGGTTCTAGCCCAGCTAGGCACTTTAATGAGGTGGGCTCAAACCTAAACAAAAGCCAGAGGTGGCTGGCACAGGCCTATAATCCTAGCTCTTGAGAGGCCAAGGCAGGAGGATCTCCCCAAATGGGAGGCCAACCTGGGTTACATAGTGAGTTCAAGGCCAGCCTGAAAGGAGACCCTTTTTCTTTTTTTTTTTTGCAGTACTGGGGGATTGAACTCAGGCCCTTGCGCTCTACTGAGCTATTTCTCTAGCCTACCCTGTCTAAAAAACTTAAAAAAAAAAAAAAAAA